TCAATTGTAGCCAAAGGGGAAAAACTCATGCCGAAAACGTTGCGGCAAATGGCGGATGTCACTCCTTGTCTTTTTTTATAATACCGTAAAATTTGACCAGTTTTAAAAGAGACAGATTGGATTCAATTGATAACATATTTTTTTGAGGCCATATTCTCGGATAATACTAAAAGATATTTAGACGTAGCAGAAACGTTTTTAAAAACCGTTACACGATCGAAAATATGCGCCGCAATCTGCGGTCCCGTTCTCGAGTTCCTATGGAAAGCCCCCGTCTAAAAATGACAAGGTGGACAAAAGCCCCCCCCCATAAAATTTACACATAGGACAAAAAGCCCCTCCCCCATAAAAAAGTAAAGGTAGGACAAAAGCCCCCCTCCCCCTCCCATGGTCAATCAAATTTACATATAGTGTATTAAAGTTGTGCTTTTTATGTGTTTAAAGATATGTATGGACATCACATGTAGGTGACATAGTGCTAAGGATATTAATTTGATCCCTTCACAAAAGTGATTAAACATTAATACTCTTCTGACCCTTGTTGTGTATATGAAAAGCTATGAATTCAGTATCGCATGCATGCATTATTTCATCTGTTATCATATACTTTGTTATCATTTCAAATATATACATTATAAATAAACATTAAAAACAAATTACAAATTATTTTCATTTTTATTTAAAAGTTTGTGTGAAATTTGATGAATTTGAGCACCTGTACGTGTGAAAAAAGATGGGGGGGGGGGGCTTTTGTCCTACCTTTACTTTTTTATGGGGGGTAGGGGCTTTTGTCCTATGTGTAAATTTCATGGGGAGGGGGGGCTTTTGTCAACCTTGTCATTTTTAGATGGGGGCTTTCGTCGGGGGGGGGGGGCTTTTATCCTACACTCTATTCAAGTCATTGGCAGTAACGCTAACACTATTATTGTCAGTATCGATATCACTTGGTAAGTTCTCCGTGTCATTGTTATCCAAATAACGGTCGGGTGATCCAGGGGCGACAGGGGTACGTCCGTAACTCTGTCGGGAACGTCCGGGATGATCAAGGGCTCTGCCGGGGCTCTACCGGTGAATGTCGGCACTCTATCTGACCGTACCGGGGCTCTGCCGGGATCATCCGGGACTCTACCGACATCATCCGGGGCTGTGCTAGCAGGGATCTCAGCTTTTATGGTCTCTTTGATTGAAGACTTAACAGCGTTTGAATATCGTGTTAGGTCATCCGTCGTCCACTTACTATCTGCATTATCCGTAGTTTCAACTGGACTCTGCATGGATGGCCCGGAGTTCATCCTGGTTGTTATAAGTATGGGAATTGGGTATCGCCGTAGTGCTACTGAGGTTATTAAGACTGCAACAATATTTTCATCCCGGATCGTCTGGGGTGGTCCTGGGCTTTGCCGGGATGCTGGTGAGAACGCTACTTAAATCGTTACTTTTAATCCCTATGGAAATCTTTATATCTGGCTGATGCATTACTGTTGATCATAGAAAAAGGTGCAATTAACATATGAAAAGTTGAGACATTTATCGTTAACCGATTTGGACATTTATGAGCACCTAATTTGTTGCGAACTTTTTCGTTAATTTTTGGACATTTATCGTTAAAGGAGTTTTGGACATTTATCGGCGATTGAAACATTTATCGTCAATTTTTGGACATTTATCGTCGTTTGGACATTTTTCGACGTTGGGACATATATCGGCGCTACAATTGTTTACTGGAGCATAAAACTGCACCCTCATTGCTCGGTACCGGTTTGGTCCCAAGAACAAGATTAAGTGTGCGTTTATAAACTGATTAACAATCGAACAAAACTCATTTCTGTATTAACTATCATTCTCGTGAGGTCTTCCTCCACCAGTTAAGCTTGAACTTCGCGATATGACCTATACTGTGTCGATGTGACGTAAAATCCAAAACAAAAAAAAAAACAAAAACAAAAATTACGCCTTTTCATAACGCCATGTCAACATTACGCCTTTTCATAACGCCAGGTCAACATTACGCCTAATTACTATTACACCTTGTCAACATTACATGTACGCCTAATTACCATTACGCCTTTTCATAACGCCATGTCAATGTTACGCCTAATTACCATTACGCCTTTTCATAACGCCATGTCACCATTACGCCTTATTACCATTACACCTTTTCGTAACGCAATGTCAATATTACGCCTAATTACCATTATGAATTATTTATCTCATCTTTTCATCAGAACGCCATGTTATGATATTTTTCTTATAATTACCATCAACATCACTCTGTCTTAAAACTATTAAACACTTAATAAAGATAGTATGTTGTAATGAGGCGTAAGCAGAACATAATATGCGAGATGAGGTAATAATAAAGCGCAGTGAAAAGGGTATTTTAAGCAAATTGAGTAAAATAACTGATAATGTATACTTTGGCTAAATAATTCATCAAATTGATATTACTATGCGCTTTATCTTAACTAGATTATAACATATCACCTACCTCATTTTGTCTTTTTTAAAACGTGTCATAAAATGCATTATATCCCATAATCTTTAGCTTCATCATCATCATTACTCCTCCTTACTATCAAATCTTTTGCTTATTTTGTCACTAATAGTACGTCACAAACATCACTTTCACTCATTATAAGATCGCTTCATAGCATTACGTCTGATCATAATTGCACTTGTAATTGTTTTACTTTTTATCTTGTATTACATTTCAGACTATTGTACAAAGCAGACAGAAGCTTGTCTTTCCAGTCAGGGAGTGAACTACTTCGAATACTCAGGTTACAATCGCATGCATCATGACCACAGGGGCTTAAAACAAACTTTTTCTATAATAAGATATACGGTCTCTAACAGAACAAAAACATCAAGCCGAACAAACAAGACCACTGCTGCAAGAAACGACCAGATCACAGTTATCTCCTTTTCGTCGCCATTTAAAAGGATCCATCCAAGCGTTAAAGCTTTTTATTTCATTTAAATCTCTCAAATATTAAAGAAATGAAAAAACTTTCACAAAATGCCAATATTTTCAATCCATGTCGTTTTCGACGTCCATTCTATTCATGTATAGACACACAATTACGAAATAAACAGAAAACGGCTAAAATTTCCACATACGTTCCTTAAACAAACTCTTTTTCTTAACTGAACGAAAGTCCATTGGGGGCCTTATACAGTATCTTAATATACATATATCATATCGGCCGATTATGTAAAATATTTGATTATGTAACTAACGCCTGTGAGCATGACCATCGGAATAGGTCAATGTCATTGCGAATAGATCAATGTCATTGCGAATAGGTCAATGTCATTGTGTGTGCATATTACATATTTTCTGACTAATTCACATCAAGTAGCTCATTACGCCTCTTTCTTTTTACACATTTCAACTCAGTATTCATTCCCGTCATTATTACCCCTTTCGCATCAAAATTATTCTGTCTCCTAAATACTAGTAATACACTTAAACATCATCCACCGCATTACGCTGCATCATTACGCCTCATCAACGTGTTTCACCTCATTTAAGCAGTAAAATTAGTCGTAAAGATAAAGCTTAAAATTATTAAATATTTCTTTGAAATAACAAAATGAAATTTATGAATTATGTCAATACTACACTCAATATCGTGTTACATTGCATTTGATTTGTGCCGCGTCACGACAAAACCAACATAGTACGTTTGCGACCAGCATGGATCCATGCTGTTCGCTTTCAGTTTCTCTACTTGTTATAGGGTCTGTAAGCGAACAACATGGATGTTGATCAGACTGCGCGGATGCGCAGCTGGTCTGGATCCATGCTGGTCGCAAACCCATTATGTTGGTTTTGTCGTGACGCGGCTCATTTGTTTTACTAGAACACGTCTGTTATACGTCTCATTAATACACCCTCACTACGGCAGCAACCAAAATCTTTGTCTCCCAAACGGTGCTTTTGTGCAGAGTCACTACTATAGTTTTTTTTATTATGCATGGAATATGGATTTAATAATGTCAATGACCTAAATAAAAGAGAATGGATGTGGTAGTAAGATGTATAGCCAGACATTGCTACCCCAGGACTAAGTACTAAATGTGCCATTTTTTTTCTAATAGTAAAATTGGATTAAAAATCCCTATATAAATTATGCCTATTTAATGGATATTTTATTTAAAAAACAACTGCGACAGAAATTATGAACTGATTTCGTTTGAATTAAAGAGAGTATTTTTAAGTACAAGTATTTACAAGTATATTATTAGTTATAAAGATTGTTGACAGGTTATATGACCATATATAAACGGCTATTTGTAAATATAACTTGATTCTTCATGATATCGACAGCAGCCTTGTATATCAAACTCCTCACAGTGATTACCTCCCTTGGCAGAATTGTAATCACTGCCTTCAAAGACGTCACATGATGATGAAAGTCACATGACGTAACGTCGAAATTCAAATGTAAATATCGACCGTTACAAAGAAAATCTAACGTTATTTTTCTCTTTCTGTTTTATTTTTTACTTTTAGTGCCTACGTTCCATATAGTTTATTAAAAAATTATCGAAAATATACAAAATAACGAAAAATAAATTCAAAAGCTAAAAAATATAAAATATCAAAATATCGTCTCGGTAGAAATAATCTCATAATTTTTAAAATTATTTCTAAATATTCATATTATTTATTTATTTATTCATAAACATTGTTAAATAAATGAGAGAAAACTTATCTGATAGATAAAAGCAGTAGATAAAACAATTTTTGAAAAAATATAGTATATCAGAAATTCTGATATATTGGGACCTTGGTGGAAGAGATCTACGCCGAAGAATTAAGGGGAGATCACTGTGTGGAGATTGCTTGTATTTAAAAGTTTATAATACTGCACGTTTGTAACGTCATTTTTCATTGGATAATCATAACGTTTACATAGTTTTGTATACACGGCTGCTGTCGATTCATGAAGAAATCTTACTTTTTTCTCTAAAAATGATGCTTGCTGTACGGAAGCCCTGGAGGGACATTTATTATTTAAAATTTAGTACTTAAAATTTATTACTTATTACCTATTATCTATAACTTATAACTTATTATTTAAAGATTATGACTTATTATTTACATATTATCTGAACCGCGCTATATTTGGCGGGAGAAACAAGATGTTAATTGAGGCGATGACCGAAAAGGATGAAGTTGAGGATCAGTTACAGATGGTATGTATGATACATTAATAAGTCAATAATTAAATGTAACTGCACGCTGTTTAGAATAATTTCTACTTTATTGAAACCTTTTTGTGGACGTTAAGTAGGAAACAATTTTTCTTGTTCTCAATTTTGTTGAAAAAAGAAATGTCCCGATTACAGCAGTAGGTACAGGGCCATTTTAGATCTAGTATTCTGACTATCTGCGGCATTTAAACAGCGACCTTTATTTCATATATTATTTGATCTAGGTTCCTGATTATAGTAAAGCCTTGAGAAAGTTTTTAAGTGTATTGGATTGGACCTTTTCGAAAACCTAGCTAAATACCGTTTTCCGGTACGTTATGGATTTAGCTGTGTACCAAATGAAGTACATAACACACTTACATGATATTTCTATTTTTCTTCATTATTTTACCGTTTCAGATGAAAAATATCAGGTGCATATTTTCAAAAAAAATGTTTATAATGAAAATCAATTAAATTAAAACAGTCATTGTGACATCTTCCATAAGAAATAGAGATATTTTCTGCGTAAATGTGTTAAGCATGAAACATTTTCTAGTAAGTGTCTACAAAGATTGTTCAAATAAAAGCCCTGGGGTCAAAACTGGCCCTGCCCCAGGTGTGTTATTGTTTTTAACTATATGTGTAAAGAAAAAAACTTCTTTTAAAATACCCAACAAGCTAGACCTTAGATGTTTAGCATGAATAATTTTCTAATGCGTGTCTACCAAGTTTGTTCAAATAAAAGCCCTGGGGTTTAAACTGGCCCCGCTCCGGGGGCCTATATACAGGTGAGCGACTTTAGGACCATCATGGCCCTCTTGTTAACTAAGTGTTATGGGTAAGTTCTAATGGATATTTACAGAAATTTTGTTTGGATCTGTGTGTTATTTATTGTTTATGTGCACTTAATGTTTAAATTAAAAGGTATTATGGCAAAATGAAAACTTATTTTGATCTTTATCCGTTCACTCACTATAAACTCTTGGATGGGCATAATGTCACTTTAAATATTTTAAAATATTTAAGATAATCCTTTGATATTCAAAAAGATCTTTATTGTAGCGACTTCTTTTTACCATTATCTTATTTACTTTAAAAGCATATTCCTCAGATATGAAAACAAATATTTGTTTCAAAAAAGTGCAAAATTTTTTGGTAATGTAAGAATGGATTTAGTGCATGTTAGCAAATTACTTAGAAAGAGATAATTATGTGCTTGAAGTGTAATACATAATTTACCTTAGATATAGCAAAATGTAAACAAATTTACATTTTGACATCCACTCAAAATATTTGGTCACTTATAATACAAAGCTTTTTTGTCCTATCACCACTAGCCAGGATCAGGCCCAATTCCCAATCCAAAATATCCTCTTTGTTTCCCAATTAAATAAAAATCCCCAACATAGCAAAATAACACCAACAAACAAACTGTTCATCTACTTTTATTTATTAACAATTAAAGAATTAACCATTAGAAGAAAACTATCATAATGTGACTGTCATTATTATAGAACAACTGAGTTAAGCTAAAACAGTACATAAGTTCCATTTTCTTCTATTATTATTTTTGTCTTTTGTGTACTTAAAAATCATTTTGCATACCGATATTTCCTCTCATTTTGATTTAAACTCATCCTCTTTTAGATTTTCATTAAATAAGATTGATTATCTGTTGTTGATATTTTCTTTCTAATGTGGCCTCCTGCAATAAATTCGGGCGTATATTGCAGAGCAGATGATAATATGTCTACACTTATTCTGAGTGATAGCTTAATAGAAAGTTTGAAGATTAAAAGTTGAAAAGACTGCATACATACAAAGAACACATTGAAATGATACTTGATGTTGGATGTATGAATAAGGAAAAGTACCATAAGTATTGTTTTTGGCAATAAATAGTGTGTATATATTCAGAATAAAATGTTACATTGATAAATGATATGTCAACACAAAGATCACATTGTAAATCTTTACCAAGTTTGTTCTTTGAGCATTATAATGGACTTGGCATTAAAATGGGGCTAATTTTATAGCAGGGTGGCAGTGTATAAACCTTATTTAGTATCAGACAAGGTAAAGAATCACCTTTAAAGATAAGAAATAGTTAGTAAAGTTTTTTTATGCTTTGCAGGATCGTACGCGGAAACAGAAGTTACAGCAGCTAGTACAAAGCATAATGGCCACTAAAAAACTGAAAGGCAATCTCTTTCAAAGGTATGATGGAAAGTAAAATTCTCAGAATTTGTTATTTATGTATTATTTGCAAAAGTTAGTTCATTTGGGAAATGAATATGCTTTTTGAAGAGATTTAGTGTCACCAATTATTTTAAAATTGGCCCCAGCCTTGATGGCCATAGGTTTCCAATATTGAAAAACACTATAGAGACTACTGTTTCAGTCAAAATATCCTGGAAATTGGTGTGAAAGGTTGTGCTGATGATTTCTAGGGCAGTGTCTAATATGGTTACACTAGGTTACTAGAAAAACTAGGTTACACAGCCAATATGGATATACATTTATACACCTTTAATGATAGGTAATAAATCTTAAGTAATAAGTCTTAAGTAATAAATCTTAAGTAATAAATCTTAAGTAATAAGTCTTAAGTAATAAGTATTAAGTAATAGGTCTTAAGTAATAGGTCTTAAGTAATAAGTCTTAAGTAATAAATTTTAAGTAATAGGTCTTAAGTAATAGGTCTTAAGTAATAGGTCTTAATTAGTCCCCTACCGGTTTAACCGGAGGGGACTTCAGGTTTACCCTCCGTCCGTCTGTCTGTCTGTTAGTCCGTCAGTCCGTCCACAAAACTGGATCCCGCGACAACGCAAAAAATACTAAAAATATTTTTATGAAACTTAATATATGGATAGATGGCAGTATGGAAATTATGCACGTCGTTCCTTTTGTTCCTATGTTGAAAATTCTGGTTGCTATGGCAACAAATAGCCTGAATTTCAAGATTTCTGATTTAGATTTTTCAGCTTTTTCACCATAAAATCTTTATTTCTTAAGGTGTTTACTTCAAACTTTAAATATAAGTTTCTTGTCATCATCCACATCATATGCGACAAGGTTTACAACTCTAGCACAAAAAATTATCAGTATTACCTCCCTTGAACTTAGAATTTTTATGAAAAATAATGTTGTCTTTTTTAAATAACTTCTTTATTTCCTAATGTATCTACTTCAAACTTCATATAATATTTTTATATGTGTCTTATTATCACTCAACATTTTTGAGAAGGTTAAATACTCTAGCATGACTATTTTCAGAATTATGTCCCCCTTGAACTTAGATTTTTTTCGAGAAATTGGTATTTTTTACTCCAACTTCTTCATTCCTAATAGGATTTACTTTAAAATCCCACATCATAATAATATGACAAGGTTGTATAAATATAATTTACTTACTAAGGCAGGGAAACTTAACACATTATTGTGATATAGACAAACTTAGAACTCAAAAGATTTTAGTTCATTCACTGGTAAAATTGAATGGCCAATGGCCCATCAGAATGTTGCTGGGGTTCTAATCGGTAGGGGACTTATGGATTGCTTGCAATACTATGATAATTGCTTGTTTTGACTAGAATTATGCTCTTTTAAAACTTTAAGTAATAGAATTTATTACTTTACATATTCATTATTTGTTATTAATGATTGGATTGTCTTCTTACGTACTTAAAACAATAACTCTTAGGAAAAGAGCTTCCAGTATCCCAAACTAAATTTGACATTGATTTATATTTTAGGTCCACTTGTGAAATATTGCCTGAATTTTGCAATTAATGGCAAAAATATTGTTATAACAATGCTCGATGCCATTATCAAATTCCAACTGAACTTGACGTTAACAAGAAAACAGACTTGATGTAATTGATCACGAAATTGAATTTGCTAAAATTGACCAAAACATGTCTGTAAAGTGTTTGATTTGTTCATGCTTAACACCCATTTAAAAAGTACCTATAGTTTGATCAATCTGAACTTGATCCTGACATTTATATGGCCTTCAACTTTAGAGGTTAATTCTTGAATTTTGCTAAATGTAATGCTGCATTGTTCTTATTTGAATTATTATTTATCATTCTGAGACTAAACAACACTGTTGACAAATTGCACATAATGAATGATTCATATAGGAATTTGGGCATCAAGGCCAATTCATTGAATTGCGCAAATTGTCAGAACTATGAAAATACTTGGTTTATACAGAATTTATTTTAGTTCAATTGTGCAGGAAGCTATAAGCTTATAAACGCACTTTCGAATCCGTTCCTGGAACCAACCAGTACTGAGCAATTAGTATAAAGTTTCTTGCTCAAGGAAACAACGACTTGCCCCTGTCAGGGTTTGAACCCATGCAGCTAGCGATCATTAGATTACTAGTCCGAAGCGTTAACCACTCGGCCATGCCGCCACTTATGAAAATACTTGACAGATGCTAATCATAATTGAGTACCTTTGACAAACTGATATGTTAAGCAATTTGAGCAAGACCTTCACCTTCAGATAACATTTACCTTTAAGGTTATTTGTTCAATTCTGCAGGTCTTTGTAACATATACAAATTTGAAAAAAAGTCAGAAAAGGTTTATCACCCTCAGTTAATTTTGGTGATAATATTATAATTTCATGCATGATTTACTTGTTGCATCATTACTTTTCTAAGACCTGGAAACTTGGAAAGAATATAGGTCAGGGTCACCACCCAGTTTTGTGACAGCAAATATTGAATTTATCTTGATTTCAACATAATCAATTTGATCAAGATTGGTATTTATGGTTGTCGTTTGCTATGTATAGGTTAGTGTTTAATAATATGCATTAACAAAAATAATTGGTCAAGCCTGCCGCAGGCAGGCGACCAATTATTTTTGTTAATGCATATTATTAAACATTAACCTATTTAATGATCAACATTATTTTTTCTACCAAAAACAAGACATTTCTCTAAATCACGATAGCTCCGCCCTTTCGCTCTACAAGATGTCTACACCTTGTCAAGTTTCTAACGTGTCACATTTAGATAAGCTAAATAAATGACCTTTTCAACATATAATCAGGCACAATTTGTACTGAAATGTCACAGAATTTATACCTTTATCTACAGTAAGACTATCATGTTTCTATAAAATATCTGGAAAAAAACAGTGAGGAAAACGATGCAATTAGGTAAAAAAACAATTGAGTTAATGACATGAGTTCATCCTTTTAAAATAAATGGAAAATGTGAGAAAAAATACATTATACAAATCCGTTATTAGCTTCAAGTTATTCACTAATATTTAAAATCCCTATTGATCTGCTCATTTGAAAAACAGTTCTTTTCTTTCAGTGTGGAGGGGGTCCATTTAGCCAAAAAATGTAATAATTGTATTCTTGATAATGCAGTTCATTCCTATCAGGTGAAAGAAAATAATGATTCGTTTACTTTTTCTAGAAAATATAAGGTTTAAAACGGTCAGCAATTTATAACAGACATTTTTCTTAGAGTTAAAAGGATTTAAAAAAAGTTTGTCTCTGCGTGCCCAACATGTATCATATATGTAATAAATCAATTGATTGTAAAAAACATTTAGAAACACCTGACTTCGTCTAATTTTTTTTATGTTGGCACTGTTTTGCTAACCTTTATATTTTACAATTCAGAGTGTACACCATACCTCTAACTCCTCCCTAATATAATGCATTATTGAAATTTGTTAGACTGCGGTTAGACGACAGATTAAGTGAATTTTGTTTAGTTAGTACACATTAACCAAAGTTTGACTTAGCAGAAATTTGAAAAATACTACAATGTGATTGGACAAAAAATAATGTTGATCATTAAATGGACAAACATATATTTACTTTGGTCATGTGATGTATGCATTATATTAACAACTTATATTAAATGATATTAATGAAGATAAAACAAGTAAGACCAAGTAATGATAGCTACAACTATATTATAGTTTTTTTATGAAGCAGTAATGAACAATTCAATTTAATATAAACATACTGAAAACATGACTTAAAATAACATTTTTAGAATAATTTCTTTGTTCTCCTTTTTGCCATTGTTGCAATTAACCAAGTTTATAATAGATCTATAACTCCTTACAAATAACAATTTAGTAACAACAAATAAAAGTATAGAAATAAGTAATGATCAATTATATTTACATGGCTTCTTTAATTTATAAACTAAATATTATTCTGTTTTTAGCACACGAGTCCTTATACTAGAAGTGGTCGTGGGCGTGAAGGAGGTCAGAATACAAGGTGCCCATAGGTTGGCAACATTTTAGCAAAGGGAAATACAGAATTGTTATGAAAAGGAATGGAGGTGGTACACGATATATATACAAGAATTCTGATGAAGAAGTAACAGTAGATGAAATACTCATAGAAGGGAAAGCATTTTACTTTAAGGATGGCAAAAGCAAGTTTGGTTTATTTGAGGAAATGGCTGTTACCCTTGTGACAGCTTCTGGACAAGAAATTTCAGGCTTCACAGACAGAAATGGTCTGCCCTGTTGCATCACAGAGTATGTTAAAGCTTATGCCAGACTGTACCCATCTCAGTGTCATTTATACTTAAGAACGAAAATCAAATCAGAATCGGATACAGATAAATGTTTAAAAACAAAAGAAGAAAGTCCGTGTTTCCTTGTAAACAACATTAAAGCTGGGTTGCTGGAAATATCATTTGAGAAAAAAACACAATCTGTATATGCTGATACAGGAAGTTCCATTTTCATTAAATCATACAGAACTGCTATGTCTTTGGCAAAAGATGATCTTGAAGAATACAATGTTTTCAATGATGGCTATTTAGTAATTAGTGTACAGAAAGACAATAAAGAATATTTGGTAGACAATGAAAATGTTTACTATTTCCCACAAGTAAATTTTGATCCAAATCAAGTTGTTTGCTTCATTCATGGACCGAATATTATTCATGGGAGTGAAACTGACGACTTGAATCATCTTATTATAGGATGCCTGACAATATTTCATATTATTTTCAATATAACATGCAAAAGTCCTTTTAAATACAAAAAAAAAATCAATTTCAGTATATCAAAAAATCTCAGTTGAGTTCCTTTAAGAATTAGCTTTTGAGCTTACAGAAATTATTAATACACACTCATGTTTATATACTATACTCGTTTTGTTAAAAACCTTGTGTTAAATAAAGCTATTATAAATTTCTACAAATATTTATTGTCATTTCTTAAGAGAAATTGTAACTACATTTCATTAAAATATTTATTCCCATTATTGCACTAAATCATCCCTTACGAGTGAAATATAAGAAAAGCTGAAAGAACTTTCGCCATACTGAAGTCATTTTATGGAAGTGGGATCTCGACTTTTAATGTTTAATTGTTTTGAATAGATTGCAGATTATGTTTTGCTTGGTCGTGTGGGGTTGTGTTCATTGAACGCTGCCTTTCTTTTGTGTTCTTGTTTTCCGTATTAAAGTGAATTATATATTGTAGTTTTTATGTAGGAAAAGTTGTCGGTTACATTTCAAAAGCTTAATAAAATTTTAACTATCGATTTTTTGTGCTTTGTTACGAATGCGCTTTAGAGGCACTATCTAACGCTTAAGCTTATAAGTAAAAATTATGACAAAATTTAATAATTAAAAAAAGTAAGTGAAAATTACCGCAATATTTTGTCTTATTTTGATATTTTACAGTAATCCTTATCACATGTACAAGCCAAATCTCTGGCATTTACGACAACTCATTCTGGATTCGCCTGCATACTTATACCTAATCTACAAGTCCGGTTATCTCGCCGATTTCTTCTGCACGGATCTTGCAAGATGCCGTTGCCAGCACAGTGTAGACTGTAGACAGTGACTGTTATTAATTTATATCTTTAGGGGAGTAGAGACAGATACATTTTCTCTACTAACTGAATTGGGTCTTTTGATACAATATGAACAAAGGATATTGCCCTCTTACCATAACATTAGAAACGACCATTTCAAATGTTCTCTTGGAAAAGTTGGACTTTCCAAATATTCAACAGAGACAGTGTTTTAAGAATTTTTTTCAGAGCATCTTGTGACAAGCATCAATTAGGGATTTCATTTGTTGTATGCAATGAAAATATGAATTGAACGATGAGACATGTAAATGCACATATTTTTATACATTTTTATATCCACAAAACAAGTTTACAACTGGTAAATTTTATACTACAAAAATAGTAAGTAATAATTAAGATAGACAGAAAAGAATAAATAATTTTGTAAACATGAGTTACATCCCCTTAAAATAGAGAAAACCTGAAACCCAAAAGAACACCCTTAACAGCAAAATTATGAAATGTTGCAGGATCAGGTTTATTAAGCCATGCAAAGTAATGGTAAAGTATTCATAAAAAGATAGATGGCCATGTGACAGCAGTAATTGCAGAAAATCGGATAGCTTTCAACATCCGGATACTGGTACACTTTGTAAAAACAATCATTCTGTGCAATAGATAAACGTAATATGGATAAAATCAATAGGATAATCGTTTACAACAGTTCCAATACCAATCTCAATACTCATTTTTACAGGTGAACGTTCTTCTTGTAGGAACATTTTGAAAATATATAAATGAATGAAAAAGAATACAGCATCAATGTAGACCACAACGATATTCGAAATTCGGGTTTTAGTATTGCCAATAAAGCTAAGGGACAAGCAGCAATTTCGTGAAAATAATATCACAATGCACATGCTTTTTACATAATGTTATTAAATACAAATATAACAACATATTTGTTTACTTGATTTTTACGAATCAAAATAAAACTAATTAACACAACATGACATTAACTGCTAATGATAACAGCTCCTTCCATAGGCCAAAATAAAAAGCATTTCATAAGAGACGACGCCGCTCACCGGCGTCGCCAATAAAATCATACATCTGAGTCTTGTACAAATTGAAGCATTACTCGTTTATAAACAGACTAGAGACCCTGGTCCGAATCCTGGAAAATTAAAATTTATAATTCTTTATGCCACTGCCATATTTTGCGATTCATGTTTGTGCGTGCATATGTTATAGTGAACTTAAAAAATCCTTTTGTTAAAACCCACAAGTCCAATTTCAACGCAACTTGCCATGATTGTTCCTTGGGTGAAGGGTGTCTAAAATTTATCAAAGAATTTTATTCCTGAAAAGTTACAGTGAAACATAATATCTTTTAGGAAAATGCTATGTTCAAGGGGAGATAATTCTGAAAATATTGCATTTAGAGTTATGAACCTTACCACATAAAATGTGGTTGATGATATGGAACGTATGTTTGAAGTTGATAACTCAAGAAAAAGTTATAGAAAAAAATATTTAACTGCACAAAATCTTTAATCTGAAATCTGGACGCGGACGCCTGGCTGAATTGGACAGCTGTCCATATACTTTGAATAGACGAGCTAAAAATTTAATACTAATAAAAGATTGAAACTCGGTTAAATCATCTTGCTGAATCAAGACATGTATCAATGGTTTAGTTGTATATACATGTAGAGGATATTGAATGAGTGTAAGTTCAATACTGAATTTAATGCACTCGTTGAATAAAATTATATTATGCGAGCCTCTGGCGAACATAATATTATTTTATTCAACGAGTGCAATAAATTCAGTAATGAACTTACACGAATTTAATATTCTATTTATCACATACACAATATAAATACCGTTTTTAAAAATTGAAATAAGGGTAATTTTCCATTGACGCACCTATACTATAACGCTAACATTTAGCGCGTCTTTACATTATATTTGTATAATGATGACTATTTCTATAGAATAGTCTCTGTTATTTGGGGAACAACTTATACCCTGCCCTGGTTATGACGTAGGTACTGTATCTACGTCATATCCTTTTAACGCTGGCGTCGAATGTTGTAACAATGGAAGAAATGAATTGTTGAAAAAAAAATGGAAAAAATCGCTGATCAAAACAGCAATCGATAGTAATATCTTCTAGATATGAATCGATAAGACGTCGGTAATTTCTGTGTGCCCTATAAGCAGCAATTTTGTTGATATTTTCCACGATTGAAGCGGAATTGTTCTTGATGTCTTTGGTGGGAACATGGAACACGGAATCAAGCAGGATATTATATGGACAGAGAAGTTTTCTTAGTCAATTCAGATTTAGATTTTCAAAAGATTGTTGTCGAGAACAGTTTAAATTTAAATTATTTATATTCATTGTTTTGTGAAATGAACATAAGATTGTACTTTGTGTAGCTTTATGCTGACTGCTGCCGTAAATTGACAATTTTACTATGACGATCCATGGATCTACTCTCGCCCACGGCTATTCGTTTAGCTATGTCTGTATCTCGCTATAATGTTAAATCATTCGCGGTTTATTAGTTATGATGGTAACGATGATGATTGTAATAAAAACCTTTAAAAAAAAATATGATATATAAATAATACGATAATCTAGCTAGGTCAGTAGGTGCACTTTGCTATTTTCAATTGTGTTAACTTAGGAAAAAATGTGTCTATTAATCTAACAGGTTCATAATAAATCAGTTATAATTAGATCTAATCAGTTTTAAAATATATTTTATTTGCTTTTAAATCATCAAAATAGATCTATAATTTTCTTTTTGCTGGACGAGATTGGAAGAATGTGATTAAAGACAATACACTACTGGTCGGTATAGGAAATGTGGAAATAAATGCGATGGTGATCAGCAGCGTCTTGTGATGACTTTGTTGTATGAGATAAATGGGTGACTGATGTTAGTAGAGCTAGTAGTTTAGTTCCTTACAGTATTAGGTGAGGTATTTCCTGTTTAAATGTTTATTTTATACATTATTTTACAATGTGAAACCTAGGTTTAGATCTACATGTTGAACAAATTAATTTTTCAGTTCTATTAAATTATTTCAGTTTTTGTTATCATAGATGTGAATACATTGCCTTATTTTAGGGCCTATTGTTTTTATGGTAAAATTAAGTATGCATAATTAGCAAATTATGTCGGATAAGAAGGGGTTAAAATCACATTAAATAGAAATTGATAAATTGATAATGCACAAATAATTAAAAGATGCAGACTTCAATGCAACATCAGTCACATGATTAAGATATTAGATAATAATAATTATAGTAAATTAATAAATATTATAAAAAAATTAAATAATAACAATAAATAAATAGTAATAATAATAATAATAATTATAATGAATTGTTAATAATAATAATAATAAATTATTAATGATGATGATAATAATAATAAATTAGTAATAATAATAATGAATTGATAATTGTAACAATAATAATAATAATGATGATGTGATCTATTCTAATGATAATAATAAGACAATGATCATGAATTCATAATTATAATAAAAATAATAATAAATTATTAATGATAATAAATTAATAATAATAATAATTTTAAATATTTGTCTTTGTCTGACTATGTTTATAATTCATGGTGTAGGCTACATTACAGTACAGATTTATAACAATTTATATTTGTCACACAATTTATTGCAATTTTAAGTTGACAAGTTGTAGTTCACTTTTCATTGTAAAATTTATTTTCCATTGCACCTTTTATTTACTTTACACAACCTAAAAAGATAAATATTTTAATATAATAAATGGTTAGCTAATTTATTAAATGGTTGTGAACCTCTTTTGATGATTTAGTCATAGTGAACACCATCCAAATATAGATCTAAAACTTTAAATTTGAAAGTATATCATTTAATTTTTATTTTTTCTTATAGTTTGATCATAGATCTACACATAATTAAACTTAAAACTTTAATTTAGAGGTTAGAAGTTTTAAATTTAGAGGTTAAAAGTTTTCCATTTCTTTAGGATTTCTTATAATCTTATGCTATATGATAGGTACTCATTCCCCTAAACTAGCGATAAAAGTGAACACGCTTCTTAAATTTTAATGTTAAACACTGTTGATAATATTTACACAAAATCATGCATTCAACGTTTAACTTTTCTTTGTTGAATGTTGTTCAAAGGAAAATCATTCAAGACAGTTTTCTCTTGGCTTTAGTATAATACCCAACTTTGGTTAAATTGCAAGACCAATTTTTATGTAAACTAATAGAGGATGTGAGGTTTGATATTTAAAATGTTAATTTAAATCGTCTTACTTTAATTTCGGTGTTGAAACAATATTTTATTTTGAAAAAGTACACCCTATTAAT